GACAGTAATGGGCTCTTTTTGGTGGAATCAGAGAAAATACTAGCTTGGAAAATTTTGAAGGGGTTTATACCCCTGACTCAAGTAGTAGTCCATTGGAGAAATGCAGCACCAGATGATGTCATTTGGCAACCATTCCAGGCCATTTCTGAGTGATTCCCAGATTTTGACACTAGTGCTTCATCAACAACTCCTTGAGGACGAGAAGAATTTGGTGAGCTGTTAGTTATGAGGATAGCTTCTAAGGAAATAACAGAAAGGGGAAGATGATAGTTAGAGGCAGTTGGAATTATACCAGCATAACTAAGTTGTATCTATGGTGGTCTCTTTGCTTATGGTTCATTAGATAAAAGAAATTCGAATTTGATATCTGCATTTTTAATGGGGGCATTTTAGAGATACTAATAAAACCAATCAAAAGCTTTCAACGATTCAATTGATAACTTTAAACTTTTGGGTTGAAAAATGATCCTTTGCAATAGTAAAAATGAAAGAGTTGCTTAGTCAATCTGAAATAATGGCTCAAAATCATCTACTATGGCAGAAAAAGATGCAATTTCATTCAATATAATGCTACCACATAGTGTTTCATGCCTACTGAGACAAAGGCCACAACTCATTTATAACAGACTCCCTTGCATCTTTGAATAATAGGCCTTTGTTTCAAATTTTAACATTCAACGGAGAAGGTCAACAAGACACAAACAGGTATAGCAAGGGAGGACAATAATAACTTTTGCATAGCCTAACTCACACACACACACACACATTTATATATGTGTGATTGTATGTAATTATGTCTGTGTATGCACGCACATATATTATCTCGTTGCTTCTAAGACCAACAAAAGCACCCACATGAGATCTTATGCCCAATGCACGGATTACATATGCGCAATAGAGTCTTGTTTAATAAAACTCCAAAGCCTATTTAAAGAAACAACTGGAGACATTTAAATAAGACCTTAATATGTACCAGTAAATATATGCCAAAAATAAAAATGAAAAGATACAAAATACCTGCTAATATTTACAAACCGAAAATAACTTATTGTCCAGAGAATGGACAATTAACTGAGGCTGGAAATTCTCAAAGGAAATCCAAAGGATGTAACTTCTGCTTTTACCATTAAAATTAAAACTATAGTGTGTGGCAAACCAAACCAATTGTGTCCAAGGTTGTTAAAGGCAAATGGCACACTTAAGGTGCAAGGCCTGTAAAACGCTAAGGTGCAAGGCACTAGAAATGCGCATGCCCAAGAAAAGCAAGGCTCTACCATGTGAAAATGCATAATGTACAAACAACAAATCATAGATAAATGTAGCAGTCATCTAAATCATAAGCTATTACAACACAATAAATAAATAAAACAAAACTCACACCATAAGTACATGTATAGAGAGCCAAGTGGGCAACAGTACTTTTATGAGCAAACTATCAACAACTGATTAGTGACATTATTCTTCCAAGCAAATAATCTTTAACAAGAACTTTGAATAAATTATTGGCATGAGCAGACTGATAACCAATTTATACAGCCCATTTGAAAGCTACAGGTCTCTGAACACACCTAGATATTCCTTGAGGTAAAGGTGTTGCTGTTCTGTTTGCCTGACTGGGCTGGCCATTAGTAGTGTTTTGTATTTGACTCTGGCCACCCTGCTGCTGAGACTGTTGTATTGGCTGTTGCTGCTGCTGCTGGGCATTGCCTGACTCTGCTGCTAATGGTTTTCCAGGTACAGCTTGGTTTGCAGAATTAGGACCTTGTGGAAACTGAGATTTTTCAGCTTGTTGAGAATAGCCAGAACCTCTTTGTTGGAAAAATTTGTTAGAGGTTGCATAATTGTAAGAATATAAATGCTGAATCTTTTGAAGCACTTCCTCAACAGGAGGGGGAGGTCCAGGAACTTAGCATGCCTATACCGGCAGTCAGGACCATTGGGGCAAAATCCCAACTTGTACCTGCGGAGACAGTAACAGTAAAATCATTGACATACAAGTTCATGGTCCAATCCAAAGCAAAGAACATTCAATCAGGCATATTGAATGCAATTTTTTCTTCTTTGAGTAAATAAAAAATTCTTTATTGAAGAGATAAAAACAACAATGTAAAACCAGATCAGCAGAATAAGACATCTTCCACGATACCATTGAAAAGAGAAAGGAGAGAAGCACATCAAAAATATAAATCCTTCCTGCTATAACTTTATTAGCAGAGATTTGTCAAGAAATAATGCAGTATCAATATTGCATAAAAACAGAAACCTTTTCAAGAACTTAAACTTGTCCCTCCAACCAAGTGCACCAAAAGTCAAAACCATCACATACATTTGCTCAACTCCACGGAATCCTTCCCACCATTCTTCTCCCAAATCCCTAAAGTAAAGCAACAGCTCAGAGAAAGACACCTAAGGGAACATCCCAAGCAGTCTGAACAGCAAGAGCGCAATGATTGTGGAAAGAAGACTTATCATATTGACAGCAGCCACTAACCTAGCTTTGAACTTTTGCTGACCCATCAGAATTTAAACTCACAATCATGAACAAATTGCACAAAACATATAACCCCGCAATCCTATCCCGGGGCCAAGAAAATTACATCGAGTTTACGCAGGGTATTAGGTTAACAGAAACTGGGTAGTCATACATACATGTTACACTCCTTGATATCTTCGTTTGTGTGCTTATACACGCAGTCCTGCTCCCGACACTCCCCATATAATCTAAAAAACCGGCAAACGGGCATCCGCGCTTTGTCATACTGGTGTAAGAAGCCGCAGGCATCGCCCTTCATGCAGAGTCCACGAAGCCAGTGCCGGCACACCGTCTGCCGGAAGCTCCGGCGGCCAGGAATATTGTTTGTAGCAGGGTCGGCAGCACCGGGGGTAACACCATTAGCTGCGGCGGTGGCAACAGCGGGAGAATCGGATGGGGCAAGAGGTCCGGATGGCGCAGCTGGGTTGGCGGGAGCAGTGTCGAGACCGCCTTCAAAATCAAAGCTGAGGACTCCTTCAGCATCCTCCATTTGAGGGACGGAGCAAGTGGTGTCGTTGGCTCTATGCTATTGAAGGAATTTTGAGGGAAGAACCAAAAAGACAGTTGGCCCAAAAAAAGGTCAAGCGCAGTGACCCTGCAGGCTAAGTCAAGATGAATGAACGCAGTAAATTCACGTACAGAAACAACAAAGGCATTGTGCCATTCAACTCTCTACTGATTTAATGATTTATTTTTCATTTTATATTTATTAAATTATAAAAAATTATTAAAAAAATTAATAAATTTGATCATAAATTTATACAATTCAAATTTAATATATATAATCCAACTTAATATTAAAAATTATAAAAATTTAATATTAAATTTACATTGTTTAAAATATATTTAAATAATTAATTTATTAAAATTAAAAAAACTTTTAATAAATTTTATCATCATTCCAAACAGTACAAATATAATATGAATATTCAAAATTTAATATTAAATATTCACTATTTAAAATATATTTAAATAATTAATTTATAAAATTTTTAATATTAAATTTAGACCATTTATATTGAATATGAACTGTTCAAATTAATAATTAAATTTATTAAAAATTTAAAATATTAAATTTAAATTATTTAAATTTTCACTGTTTCTCAACGAAGAGACAGTGGAGGATTCCCTCAAAGGAGGGAATCTAATATCATTTAACTCATTCAATATTTTATATCTTACCATATCATTTCATATTGATATAATTTAATTTTAAAAAATAATTCTTTCACATTTCATTTCAGGGAGGATAACAATTAAACATAAAAAATAGTAAAAATTAAATATCAATTGTCAATATTTATCTAAATAATTGTAAATAATTAGTTTGCAATTTAGATTTATATTTATAACTTTTTGAATTAATATTTATAATTATTTTATAAAAAATTTATTGAAAACTTAATTGTTATTAATTCATCATTTTGGAACTTTATTAACAATTCTCCCTTTATTTTACTAAATTAAAATGTTTTTATAATAACGATTTAAACTAATTTTTTTCATATTTTTATTTTCAAAACTTCTTGTAAAAAACTACTCAACAGATATTCTTTAAATGGATTTTTTTCCATTGCCTCTTACTTCTCAAGAGAATGAATTAGCTCGGATTGAATCAAATGATCGCAGTTGCTCTGTAAAGCTGGCTTAAGGAAGATTGTTAACTCTTGCCTGAGATTTTATTTTTCAAATAATCTAACTCCCTACCCTATTTGGAGAATTTTTTTTTTTTTTTGTATGGAAGGTAAAGCTTCCTATGAAGCTTTTTAATATTTATATGGAAGCTATTGCATGAGGCCCTACCTATTGGAGAAATCCTAAGAAAAACATCATTTAAACAACTCTCAAATTTGCCGATTGGTATGGCAAAGCACTTGCAATTGCTAGACATTAGGTAGTGATAATAATGGTTTTCATTAGAAACATTTGATGTTAGATTATCTATATTTTAATAATAAAATAATAATACTCTTTCCGTCTCAAATTATAAAATATTTTAAAAAAAATTTAACGTCCTACAATATAGGACACTTTAATAAAATTAAAATTTCGTTAATGATAATTTTTCAATAATACCCTTTACATATGTTTTCTCTCTTTAATGTTCTTTTATCAATGAAATATTAAATAAAAAATATTTTTAAAAATTTATATTTTTATTTTAAAAAAATAAAATTACAAAATATATTTAATAAACTTTGTAAATCTTATTTAAAAATATCTCATAATTTGAGACAGAGAAAGAGAAAGGGGAGTGGGGGGAAGAGGGAGTGTGTGTGTGAGAGAGAGAGATGACAAAATAATTTTCTTTGACTTACATGCTCATTAAAGAAAACTTGATTCTTTGTTTCATTCTGATGTGAATCTTCTATATTTACGGTCACACAGATATAAAGGCATAGAAATGATATAGATATATAATCTTAAAAAAAAAATTAAAAAGAGAGATGAATGATAAGCGCAAACATGAAGAAAGATGACACAGGAGAGTCATATCATAACTCGGCCATCATACATTTCATATTATTGAACATGTCGTAGATACATATAACAAATCGACTAATACTCCCTAAAACCATACTAACCCAATAACAACTCAGTAAATAAGAAAAATAGGGGGGATATTCTACTCTACCCACTTCCACTAGCATGAGAAAGATGACTGACTTCAACAGTGGAACTATGCTCTATAAGTATTAATCATCCATGGTCATGCCTTTATTGGTCCAAAGCTAAAATTCATTTTCCAGAATGCCTCACGTTTAACAAAAAGAGATGGATGTAAATGCTTCAGGTTCTGTTGGATCTGAATCTTCTAATACTGAAAACCTGTGAAGCTAGTGAAGTTGAATAGAAAGCACCAACACCACATGTACAGTACTAATGCTTCCCTTCAAACTTCACGAACGCTTCGATTTCAGATGATCTGTTCTCTGTTAGTGTTAAGCGTGCAAAGCAGCTCTGAGAGTTTCAGAGAACTGCAGATGAAGTTCCATAACCATCACGGTGAGCTTTCTGCCATCTCCATGCAATCCCCAAACTCTCTTGAAGATTGGTGTAACGCGCAGTCCAATTCAGTTCGCGCAATATCTTTGATGGGTCACTGTACACTTCAGCGTAATCGCCGGGACGACGGGAAAGATATTCAACTTTAATGTCCACCCCGGTAGCCTTTTTACAAGCTTCCACAAACTCTTTAACAGATCTACCTGGTTTACAGAACCCCATAATAAATGTAAGACAAATGTATGAATGAGATACGATAAAGAATCTTAAGACCTGGCTATAAAGGGTAAGTAGACAATGGACAGGGCTGACATATGACAAGATTGAGCAAATTCTGGAATGGATTGTAATGGGCTTGTCAAACTTGAACTACCCCTTTAAAATATAATAAAATAATTTTAGTTTAATCCAAATCCATCCAAGAACTATGTTAATGGATTGGTCCATGTATTTGTGAACACATTCAGTCCATCCAATTGATCTATTACTTAAATTTTACATTAAATTATACTTAAAAAATATATTAACTTTAATTTAATAATAACAACAACGACTACAACAACTAATAACTTTGGTATTCTTTCCAAACTTCAAAACAAAAAAAAGGAATTCAAAAATATGTCACTCTCTTTTCGAATGTATGAATGGAAATAATCAAATTTGGATTCTTAAGAACATCTTGACTCAGTTTTCATCGCATGCTGAGAAATTAATCATAGAAGGAAACTGTTCTTATCAGCGACCAAGATGATCAACTACTAAGAACACTTTAAAACATTAAAAGATTTACATTCAAAGAAGTCACAACCTACCTCTTCCGGTGCCAACGTTGTAGATCCCGACTTTACCAGATTGAGCCTTTTCAAGAGCTTTCACATGAGCATCAACCAGGTCAGTTACATCAATATAATCTCGTACACAAGTTCCGTCAGGTGTCTTATAATCCGTTCCTCTAACCTGCAAGCCGCCAACAAATGCAATGACAACACTTGAAAGCATTCAATCATTATATACTTGACCTCAATCAAATCCTTTGGGTAGGTTTTCAAATAGCTTTGCAAATGTCAGAGAGGACGAAAAATGCATTCCCTTCTAGGGAAATTGACGATTAAGGATCCCCTAATGTCATTAATTTCAATTAAGGATCATAAAATATCAAAATCCCAATTAAGGACCACGGGACTTACTTGGAATAAAAAACATACATAAATTTAAAAAATCGCCCTCTACTAAACATTAAAATATATACAACACTGCTGAAATCACTATGGTGATTGTTAATGTCAGTTAGAAAAACAAGGAACTACATTTAGGAATAAGTTGTTTCCCAATATAAAAAAAAAATCATGAAACATTCCAAGGTCACTAATGAATATATAAAAGCGATTTGGAAAATTACTAGCTTACTTAAGAATATGAACTCAATGACTTCTCAAATTTCATACTTATTTATCTATAGTTTAAGCTTAAAAAACAAGGAGATGACACTGCCAAATCACTATCGTAATATGAGAATATTGTTAATGTCAATTGAAAAACAAGGAATCACACTTGGGAATAGATTGTTTTCTAGTGGGAAAGAAACTCACCTTTGAAACATTCTAAGGTCACGTAGGAATACACAAAAAGAATTTACTAACTTCACTTAGTGATTTTTTCCCAACGAACATTTCAGATGATTCACTTTTTTTAAAAAAAAAATTCTAAGTGAAGACCATGGTCCTCAATTAGGATTTCAATATTTTATGGTCCTCAATTGAAATTAATGACCTTAAGGGGTCCTTAATTGTCATTTTCCCTTCTTTCTATATAGAAGACTTCTCCAAGTTCAATAGTTAGTAGTTTTTAAAAAAAAACCCCAAAGATTGCGATAAAAATTGTTACATTAGCAAAATGAAAGATGTTGTATTTAATGAGAAAACATTTATTGAATTATATATCAATTATTAGGAATCTAGTAATATAGATGCCTCTATCAGTTCCTGGAAATGTACAAAATAGCGTTATCTCAGTGCTAATGTTTTGAAAGGAAACATTCCATAGATTTTGAGTTTTTGACATTTATAAAGAAAGGGAAAAAAAAAATAAACCAGTATACCTTTAAGCCAGGAATAATACCACGTGCTGCATCAAAGCAGGCACCTGAAATTCGACCTTGTTCTCGCAGTTCAGGTCTTGGAGCCTCTCCTAATCTGCCCTCAGGATCTGATCCAATCACATTGAAGTATCTGGATGTTCAAAGATGAGAAAGTCATCAAAGATGAACATAATATTCTGAATTTTGAAAATACTATACTTAGATCAAGCAGCACAGATTGGACATCTTCATTCATGGTGCTCAAACTATATACCAATGGTCCAAAAGACATAAAGTGATCAGTTTTATAGCTAAATACCATAACAATGATAGAAAAAAGATTCTTCTCCACATTTTTAATTTTTCTACACTGCGAATCCAATATCTTGTCCTTATCTATAAAAAAAAGAAAGAGAAAATAATATCAACTTAATAGATTCGGCCCACCATTACATCCACTTCCTAGTTTCAAGCGACACTTTCTTTAAGATGACTATAAATTCAATAAAACTATAACAAGTCACTCAACACACAAATGAACAGTGTAACTCTTCAATTTCTATTTCAAACTCGAGAACAAAGAAAAAATCCTATGTTTAAGTAGCCACAAATCCATATTGAAATCCCATGCCTAAAAGATCATGTTACATCAAAATTCCTCAACACGAGAACCAATAAAGCTATCTATTGCTTCTCAAACACAACAAAATGACTTGAAAGGATTATCTACTTCCATGCATGCGCATCATGCGTGCCCCACTAGAGATCAACACATCCAAACTCACGTGGTGTTTTAGGGGAGGGGGAACAATGAAGAGGAGAATAGAGAAAAGCTGGCATTGCCAATACTTAACAAAAGAAAATGATCACTAAACACAACGAGCATGAATCAGAAAATGACTGTCGCAAGATTCCAAATATTGAAAATACATCAAAAATCAAGATTAAAAACTAACTTCAGAAACAATGAGGACATTCATAAATAAGAATTCAAAAAATGGAGGGAGATTTCTGTACGTATTGCACATACCTTAGGATCATCACAGCCATGTCCGAGGTTTTAGAAAAATCAAGGATGATATCTTCTGCCATCTTCTTGGCTTTTCCATATGGATTTATTGGGAACTGTAACATCACACATGAATGTTATAAGCAAACACCCTTGTGCTAGAACCACTGAAGGAACCAAATGTGAACATTACAACTAAAATGTTATAAAAAACACAAGACACAGTTTTCCTGCCTGGGGTGTTTCTTCTGTAATGGGCATCTTTTCAGGTTCTCCATATGTTGCACATGTACTAGAATATATCAATGTCGTCACACCATGTTTAGCCATAGACTCCAAAACCAACAATGTGTTTGATGTAATATTGTGGTAATACCTGAAACGTTTCCAGAAGGGTAAGCTCAATCAACTTTTACATTAACCTTTTATGTTAAACCTCAAAAACAAATCAGAAGAAATCCCAATTAATCAGTTAACAATAAAACAACGTTGAGCTACTTAAATCAGAAGTCCATTCTAGAACTTATAGCAGTCCAATGAGGCTCTCTGAATGAAATCTTAGGCACACTAATGAAGTAGGTAACATTGGTTTCATTCACCTAATCAAACATAGCCGAAGACTGAAACAGAAGATGGTTAGCATATAATGCATGGTAACAAGTTGGCAAATCATGCCAAAACTCACCCCAACAAATTCACTTGACCAAACATAGCCTAAGACCTCAACAGATAATAGTTACCATATAATGTATGGTAACAAGTTCACAAATTATGCAAAAATCAAATCATTACAAGACACAGCAAATTTTGTTACTCACACCAAGACAATTGTTCGTAAAGCAAAATGATAACTCAAGATGGTAGAAGGACATCACATAGCAAAAAAGTTTAACATAAGCAAGCATAAACAACATAACAAAACGCTGAAACAATCATATTTCAAACAACACAGACTTATTAAGCATCAACCTGAACTTAAATTGAACAGGAAAACCGAATGATAGTCAGTAAAAACATGGGAATAGAAAATCCATCCCAATCAGTCCAGCCACAATTTATATTTTCCAATAGACATATAAATTAAAAGCATGTATGAGAAATTAATAATATAAAAGAAACTTAGAACTTTGCAGTTTAAATTTACATTTTCTCTAACATTATATAAACATGTATACACAAAAATTTCATGTTTGAAAAATGGCTCAGAAAGCTGGAAAATTTTAATTAGACAGAATTTAATTGTTCACAGTGAGGTTTAGACAAGTATCCCTCAATCTATCATACAATGCCCAAATAAACCCAATATGATATTGGACATCCCATAATACACAATATGGAATTTAGTATTCTATCCTACCAAGTCTCCATCAAAGAAACTTTAATCTCAAATTATAATTCGAATTTCCAGTAAATGACTTTATTTTAAAAAATTAAAAAAGAAAGCAAAAGGAGGGGGGAAGACCCCGACATCATAAAAGTTAAATTGTACTCCGAACAAGTATATTAAAATATAGCAAAGTCATATCCAACCATAAGCAAATAAACAGAATATGATATAATAATAATTGAAACAAATGAATGAGTGCATGAATTTATTTTAACAACCAGGCCCATAACCATGTCAAAGCAATTTGCAGTGAAAGCCCATTCTGGAATGAAAATATCAATTCATATTCAAGAAAACAATCAGCCAATCCACCAGATAGGTGAATAAACAAAATTAGAAACCGTACACAGATCCTCCTTTCCATAATTTGCTTGTCAAAGCTTAAATGATGCTTACTTAAGAGGATCAGCTGTGCTCTCCCCAACATATGCAACAGCAGCAAAGTGCATTACAGCATCAAATTTATTCTCTGAAAATATTTTATCAACCTGATAACCAGTCAAGTAGACAAGCCATACCAACATCAAATTGTTTCAAATACAAGGTTTTCTTTCTTTTATTTCCATTACTTTTCTTTTCCTTTCTTTCGTTTTTTGCTGTCTAAATACAAGTTAATATTGAAGACCAAAATATTTCTATTTACAAATGCAAGATGGTCAGGATACAGATTTCTTATCTCCCAAATCAGCATATATAAATTGAAGCCTTCCAGGTTCTGGAAATAATTCTTGGAGAACCCTGATGGCACCTAAATTTCCTCGTGACAAGTTGTCCTGCCAGAAAGGAAAAAAAAAATGTTAGTCTTGTGGTGCAGCAACGATGGAGAGAGTTTATGACTTTAACAGATATCATATTATGTACAGACATACCACTATGGTGACACGATAAGAATCCTTCAAAAGTCGTAGAGCAGCATGTGACCCAATATAGCCTGCTCCTCCTGTTACCAGGACATGTGTGACTCCAGGTTCATGGAAAGAAAACTGGAAACAGCCAAAACAGGAAAGAATTAATAACATGAATGAAAAGGCATACAAACCCTAGATTTTTGTATCATATCCTCAACAAATAACAAGAAAACTGAGTCAGGGAGAAGAAGGTTGTAACTGATAATATTATCTCCCTTCTTTCACTTACTGCCATTTTATATACTCCCTCCTTTTTCTTTCTGCTTAGGCTTTTTCCTTTTTATTTTTTATCCAATAACACTAGTGAACAGAAAAGAACAAATTAAACATACCCATTTATTAATTTCTATTTAATAGACCTAAACATGGCCCGTAATAACTCAACCACTTCATGGTTCTTTCTTTTGTAAGCATTAAAAATTAAAAATCCAAACTCCCACATTTTAGTAAGATATTTATAGGAGTTACCGGACTAGGGGAGTTCATAGAAGGAGACTGCTTGATCATGATAATGCATAATGCTGTCAATGCCGCAGCAAGAAAAACTTTCCCAACAAAACTGCCCTTCCTCTTTGGATCAGCATAGTCCATTCCTAGAAGACAGCAGAACATGAACAAAAAGGGGGGAAAGCCTTATCAAACCAAAATTAGATTACAAACATAATTGAGAAAAAATATTAACATCATGGAATACTTGGATATTTCCAGATTCCCCAACTTCACAAACCCCCAACCTATCCTACAATCATGCGTTACAATTTTTAGTAATTAGGCCTTTAGAGAGGGGGGGGAGATTGTGTGCGTGCCATGTGTCACATGTATTTGAGCTGTTTATAACTCCATTCATGCCTATATCTGGCAATCAAAATCTTACCTCCCAATGACCCAGGTCTGCTAGCCCTTGGCTGACTTCTGGGCCTGCCAAATAGCATTTGCGAAATCTATATTACTAGGATTGAAGAAGTGAAGTCTTATTCCTCCCCTCCTTGGACAGATCTAAGGTGATAATCTGCAGTTGAAACTCTAGGATTAAAACAAACCCATCAAAGTTCAGAAATCAGAATAAATAGATAACACTCAGAACAAAGAAAGGAAAGGAAGGACCAAGGCAAGAATACGATTGAAATTCCAGGCCTCGGTAAAGATTTTGAAAAGTATGATACTAAAGATCCTTAATCCTTTACAAATCAGAGACCCAGCAATTCACCAATAAATTTGGAGCCATAAAACCGGTTAGATTTAGCATTCATAGAAATTATATATCCTCATAAATCTGTGAAAGAAAACCCACAAAGGAAAAACTCAAAAAAAAAAAAAAGCCTCCAAATTAAGCTCTGCATATTTCACTCCAGTGATAAAGAGATATGCATATCCCTTGTCGTCAAATCTTTACATGACATAATACCAGGGGGTGGGGGGAATCTTAGAAGACGATTTTGCCAGCTTGTAATACAGACACCGTCATAAGATTGCACTTCCAAATTTTCCCCAAATGAGAACAGAACAAATTCCGATGAATCAGTTTCAAGATCCAACATGATCAACCAACAAAATCCCATCCACGATAACACTTTCTGTTCAATGTCTCTTCAAAATTTAAAAAAAAAACATTTTTTAAAGCACCATTGACAAACCGAGAAAGGAAACCCTAAGAAAACTACACAGAATCAACGGAGAAGCTCAAAGATCAGCACCGACCATCCAAATAAACAGACTTCAGCTAACAAACGCATTAGAAAGTTGATGAACCAGGGTTAATAAGCACAATACCGAACGAACAAAGGCAAAGGGGCGTTAAAACCGCCTGAAACAGAAAATCAAAGCAACGGTAGCTCATGTCATATGGACGTGCAGGCCACAAGGACAGAAGATCTTAATGAGGGAAAGACGTGAAAAGAGAATAAAGCGTCCCAATTTAACAAATTCACGCAACAAAAGAAAAGGAAAATGAAAATACCAAAAAAAAAATATTGTACCAGATTCCGGGTAGAATCCACGATCAGTTCCAAACGCATGAAAGAGAAATCGAAAGGAAATTCGGGAAAAACGCAAGAAAACGTGCAAGCTTCAACGAAGGCAGACCTGGTCCTGCAGGCGGAAAATTCGCAGCATAATACGTCGTCTATAGACGTTGACACTAGAAGGAGATGAAGGTGAAAATAAGGAGGTTGGCACGAGAAACAGCGACATCCCTGATTTTTTTTTTGAATTTTTTTTTTTGTTTCAATGATATTTGAATTTTTTTTTTTTTTTTTTTGGGTTTCAAGAGAAACGTTTGTTGGAACCACGGCATGAATGAGTGATGACTAACCAATATTGTGCGACCATGTGTGCTTCACTTTACCGCCGAGGAATGCGGGACCATTCTATTTTCCGTGAAGCGTGTCAACTTTTGGCACTTTGGGGCCCATATGGTTTATATGGGTCCACATTCTATTTGTGGGCCCCTTTTGACTGACAAATGGAAAGCGAGCATTGACGGGAGAATTTTCAATTATTAATTTGCACATTTCTTTTGCCGCGTAAGCTTACTAAAACACAAACGGCCAAATATGGAAGGAATTTGGAGTGCGCCAAAATTTATTTATTCAAGAAGGGGCTTTCATGACATAATAACAACAATCATTTGATTTAATAAAATAATTATAAAAAATTTTATCATATAATATTTAAAAAAATTAAATTTTAAATTTTTTCAAGGAGACCATGAGAAGTTTTTTTATCCTGAAAATTATTTTAAATTTTTAAAGATAAATATATATTTGTAATTTTAAATATTAATAAAATATAATAATTATAAATAAGATACTGATTCAGTGAGTGAATCTATATTACTGAAGTAATATATAAAAGTCACTAATGTTCAAGAGTTTTTTTTGTTTTACAATGCAATCAATATGATTATTAACAAAGCAATATGAAATATGAAATTTATTACTCCTTTTATTATAAAATATAAGATATTTTTAATCAATAAAGTGTTTACCTACTTTTAAACTAACATTATTTTTTTATATACTTACTCCTATTTAACACCTTATAATAAATATAAAATCATTCATTAATAAAAACACTTTTGAAACATCCAACTTATTAAAAATACCTTACATTTTCAACATCCAACTTCTTAAAAAATACCTTACATTCAACTTACAAGTATTATTTATAAGTTATTGTCCACCTCACTTTAAATTAAATTTTATTTAATGCATGAGGAAAGGAAGCATATCGAATTTTTTTTTCTCTTTTGCAAAATGTATTCTTTTTAGTACAAGTAAGAACAAGTTATTCTTTTTAAACTAGTTCATAAGAGAATGTTCACCACTTGGTAGGCACAAATTATTCTAACATGTCTTGTTACCCACTTAGGCGAAATCAATGGAGAAGAAAAAAATTCTAGTTATGATGACAAGTCTTTAGGTATGGTGTTAAAGAAATAAAAAAAAATACTCATTCCATTCAAAAATATAGAACATTTTTTAAGGAGTTAAATGTTAAAAAATGTAAGTCATTTTTAATCTTTCGAGGTGCAATAATTATTTTTTTCAAAAGTATTCCTATTGATAATAACTTTATATTTATTGTAGAGTATTTAATAAGGGTAAATATAAAAAAATAGGATTAGTTGTAAAGTAGGTAATTACTTTATTAGGGATGAAATTTAGTTTAGAATACCTTATAGTTTTAAATAGAGGGAGTAAGCTTATTAATATGATTATTTTTTTAATTACTCACATGTGCCCCTATTAAAGATAATTATGTTCAATATATGGTCAGGTGCTAAATATGAATATATCTCCTAACAAGTTATTCAAACTTTGATTTATCAAATTGTAAAGGACTAACCTCTTTTAACTTTTGTAAATTTTTTAATATGATTGTTTTTTAATATATGATATTATCAAGTTAAATTTAAGTATTACCAGTTCCAAATAGAAGTAACTCTTCCAAGTCCCAACATAATTTTTTTATCCTTAAAATTTAAATCCTAATAATTTTTCCTTTCACAATATTCTAACCTGATAACTTATTCGTAAAAGATGGAGTTTCTTTTGGGGAGAACTATATGTAAGTTTCACACAACACATTTATATATTACTAGATCTATTGACAACTTTGCAAAAATAATAATAACAATAATAACCACATAATTTAGTTGTCAAAATTTTTTTTTACCCAATTGTCAATTAATCTTATAACATTTAATTATATTTTATGAGATTTTAAAGTAATTCTTCTTTTCTTTTATTCAACCCACTCCAAGTTTGTGAAGGAATATACTTTTTATTCATCAATTATATTTGAAATGAAATTTTATCTTTAGCTTTTAAATTGAACACATATAACTATGCCACAATAAAATATATATTAATATATAATTCCTATAATCTAACGGCATGCTATATTATAAGATGTTCCCATTCCATCATTTTATCATTTTATATTTTATAATATTTAAAAAAGTATTAAAAAGTATTTTTTGCCCTTCAACTATTTGTTCAAGAATATATGATATCTTGAACTTTCATATAATGCAGTTTTATCTTTTAATATTTGAAAATAATATATTGAACACTCTTCTATTAAAAAAATTTTTATTTGATCATTAATTAACTTAAAAATGGATGAAAAGTACCTCAAAAATAACAAAAAATGACCCATAAAATTACACATAAGTAACTCATAAGAAAATCAATAGCAATTAAGTCTTCTTAATTACATATAAATAACTGAAAATAAATATTATTTCTTGTTCATGTAAAAGACCAAAATATGATTTAATTTTGATCAACCATTACTTTAGAGGCTTAATAGATATTAATTTTCTTATGAAATACTTATTTGCAATTTTATGACTCATTTCCTATAATATTTTAAATTATTTTTTGTAATTTTTGGGTCAACTAACAATTAAAATTAATTTTTTTAACAACAAGATGCTTAGAACACCATTTTTAAATGTTAAAAGATGAAATCACACTATATGAAAGTTTAGAAGATCATGTGCTCCTGAACAAATAATTAAGAAGCAAAATTATCCTTTAATCCTCCAAAAAGCACTGCTGCACTATTACTGTTGTTAGTGAAGAATGAATCTATTATTATAATATTAATTATATTTTGTAGAAAGTTATACTATTCATATTTTGAATCCTATTTCTGAAATTGGATTTTGTGCATTTATTTTATAACCAAATTGGATTTTTCTTTACCTTTGTAAGTTTTACAATTTCTTTCATTGTTTTTTTTAAATAAAAGATCAAATGCATGTTAACAAAATAAGGGGGGGAGTTTATAAGGACATAGTTAATGATGAAACATTAAAAGATGAAATAACAGTAAAAATTTGGTTAGCAGAGCAATTTAGTGCCACATCTTTGGATGGTAAAGCTATGGAAAGATCCAAGGAGGAGGATGATGTGGCAGCCAATAAATCTTTACTGGCGTAGAGAAATTACATCACTTGTTGAAGCTAATGACTAAATTTCCAAAACCAATCTTTAATTATTTAACAAAGAAGGGAATGCAAAGGGAGTTGAGCTATTTTACTTTATGAAAAGGGATGGGATTGGCCTAGAGTTATAAATTAGGGGGACAATTGCTAGGAAAGAAGGAAGGAGGCGAAAAAAAGAAGAAGAAAAATCTTACAATAAACTTAACAACAAGAGGCATTGATCCTAGTAAAAAAATTATAATCATTTAAGTATGAGGTTTCAAGTACAAGTTATAAAAAAAAAAAAAAACATGACATCTTCATAAGCAGGGATGGTTTTACATGCTTCCCCCCTCCCCACACCATAAATTTTTTAAAATGTTGTTTTATTTTTACTCGTAACAAATGTTAAAACTAACTTTTGCCTCCCCACTATCATCTAATTTTGAATTTTGGTCTTCTCATAGAGCTGTTCCTAATCCGTCCCTGCTCGTACGGTTAGAAGTCTAACTCCCCAGATAAAAACTTCAAACATAAAATATAAACAAGTAAATGGAATAGTTAATATTAAAATGTTTAAAAGTATGAATAATTGAATGGATGAACCAAATGACGATATATTATACCAAGTTGCCTTTTTAGGTCGGCTAAGTTCTTTCCTACCATTTTATGTGTTACTACCTTATGCAGTCTCCCCACCCCCCTAACTGGGATCAATTCTTAATTATGACTGCCTAACTCAGGCATACAAGTCTATGCAATGACAGAGAACAGAGGCATGAGAAATACACACACCAAAATTATGACTACCTAACTCAAACATAAAAGTCTACCTTTTCATTCATGAGCATTGATATGCAATAAAAAAAGATTGTATAACTGAGGATTGTTTGGTTCAACTGATTAAGAAAGTTAAATTAACTTATCTCATAGTCTTAAACTTAAATTTTGAAATATATAATTGAGTTAAATAAATATATTAAAGATATCTCTAAAATACTCGTGAGGTCAAAGTTGGCAGTAACAATTCTACAAAACCAATGGCAAAGCCCAGACACAGAACCAGGTGATATAAGATTATTTAATTTAAAAATAATAATTTAATAATTAAAATGATAATTATACTAGGAAAATTTGTAATAATTTAAGTAAATTGATTGCCTTTTTTTAAGAAAATTATATTAAATAGGTGGATATGTTTTTTTTTATGTAATATGCTATTCATATCTTATTTCATCATTAAAATATTACATTCATAATAAGCTGTTGAGATCAAATATTTTTTATTTAGTGTGGAGAGTGCACAATTTACTGACATTACTTGTAATTTTTCTCAAAACGACCTCATTATTGAGTGGCTTCGTCAGACCGTCAATGCACACAGTAAGCGTTCAAATTAATTTGGGCAGAATGTGATAATATGCTGGGATTTCCAAAGAATATCAGGGAATGAAATAAGAAAAAGGTTAGATGCTGGATGCAAAACCAGAAATGGCAAGAGATTTTTCATAAAACCAATTTTTTTCGAAACGAAAAACGAAATACTATAACAAAATTTCTATGACATGCAAAATATATACTCCATTCATTCAAAAATATAATACATTTTAACTGAATTTTACTTCTAATAAAATAGTTATATACTTTTAAATTAATCATATTTTTTTATATTTATTCTTATTAAATATTTTATAATAAATA